GCACCCGAATGATAGAAATGCTGGTCATTTTGAGTGAAAAAAAGGATAATTTACTCTTGATTCTTTATAGCTTATCTTGCATCAGACACGCTGATGAGCGTACGCATAAGAACGATAAATCACTTTTCAAAAGAATAGGTTTGTCATTTTGAAATTTTTCACAGATCTGATAATTTTTGCAAAGTATTTGAAAGGATGTTTTGACCTGTGTGCTTAATATATGTTCATAAATATGCGTCATCCCTAGTTTTTCTGAACAGACATAATCTGTTTTAATACCTCCCGTCTCTTTATGGATTCAACAAAAGACAGTTAAAACCTAATCAGTAGCAAGAATGGACTCTGTAGACATGAAATATCACAAATTGTAAATATCTTCTCATCGAATTTCTTTTCGAAAATAAAAGAAAAATGTAGAACGAACTTTCTTAACACCCTTTATATCCCAGCGCTGTTTGCCGGACATGCGTCTTTATCGCAGACGCAGTTATTATCTAACCTTTCACTGCGAAATTGCAACCCTTGGTTTTTTTAGTTATCGTCCTTTTAATTCACAATGAAGCGAGTCTGAGACGTGGGAAAGCAACAAAAAGAAGAAGAGGTACACGAGCTAGAATAAATAGGCAGGGTATGCGTTGCTTCCTTAATATTGGCGGGGTCATATATCATCCACAATTCAAAAACAAGGATGAATGTTTATTCAAAGTAGATGGAGTTCATCTATCCAAGGAAAGAAATGAGATTTTCTGTCAAAAAAAAATGGCCTGCAACAATTCCTGAAAAAGTGTTGAAATTCTAAGTGATTTGGGGTCTGCAGTGGAATTTTATGGAGTTTGAGTGGTTCTTGCCAACATTGGGGGTTTCACTGTACAGTATGAAGTACTAAGTGCTGATGGTCGTATAAGTGACCCCGCTTGTTGGCGAGATCTTCCGATCTTGTGGCGGAAGAACCGATCAAGTTCAATGCCGGAAATAAAAAAAAAACCTTCTGAAATGTAGCATTCCATATTGTGGGAGATGCTGACACACATGCGAATCAACCCGTTGCTGTTGGCATACCTTCGTAATTGATTGTAAACATGTTGTCATTGGAAATACAATTGTTGATTTTGATGTTGATGAAAGACAAGTTGAAAGTCATTGAAATATTGACAATTTGATGTTGGTGTTGATAATACAATGAAGTTTTTGATAAAGTTGAAATGTTGATCTAAAGTTAATTTGATGTAATTTGTCATTAATATCTCACTAAATGTAAATATGTTGTGTGCTTGGGGCTTGCTCTTGCTAACTGGCATCCCCTTGCAGTTGTATGTTGTTTCATTTAGAATTTAATGTACTTAATTCCACCGCGACCAAAAAATTGCCACAAGTAATCTTTAAACTTTTAATTTGTTGTGTCATCTTTGCATACAAGTTCAAGATAATATGACGTCAATGTAATTGAAAACTCTAAAATCTGTGTTCAGATGAACGTGCGCGCGCATGCAAAACGTTGAATGACATTTATAATTGATATCATTATAACTTTTTGTTAAAAGCAACATGATGTTAATAGCAGCAGTTGAAGAATTTACAAGGATAGAAAAGGCCGAGAAATTACTTAACATATTCCCAGACAACGTAATAGCATCATATATTCAGATGCAACAAATAATATCTATATGCAGACATATATATAATAAGAATATTGGAAAGCTTTATTCTAAATGAGATGTGCAGACTGAAGATCCCGAAATGGAGAAAAATTATGATATTTTACAAGAATGTTTTTCCATGCAACCCGACACCTCGGAATCTTGTTATGATTGTACAGAAAACGTCGACAGAATTTATAATTATTCTCAAAATTGATTCATCTTTGGCTATACTGCATTTTATCTGAACATACACTTCTGATACGGTATATCTTTTTCTCAGCATCAGCCATGACCACATTTTTATCAAATGAAATTTTCTACAGTCAATTTTAAAGCTCAAAACACTGAATATCATTAAGAAAGCCTTTTTTGACAAATAAATTCTTATTACTTATAACAGCACACGACCTTAAATTAAAAAAATCTACAAGAATATTTAACAAAACAAAAGAAAGTATTTGATTTATTTTTACACCTTTTGGTGTATTAGCTCCTTCCCATGATTGAAGAAATAAACAAACGGAAAAATAAATCATCTGCAGGCATAACCTATTTAAAAATGTGAAGATAAAGAACAATAAATAAGCTTAAACGTTAATTTCAAATTGTCAGCAGAGAAATGGGTTCTGTGGAAACAGAGATGGAATAAGATGGCGTGGAAGAGAACGCATTCCATGTCGAACGATTTCACCCACTGATTGCTCCTTGTCGTGATTAGGTGAAAAACAGCACACAGCCCAGATCGAAAAAATAAGAGAAACAATTGGTGTGAAATATGTCAGTATAGCTTTATCTTGCAATTGATTGAATTTGAAAACAGAGTAATTGTATTGAGCTGAGAATTTGTGAACTTTTTTTTACTAAAAAGAGATTGTCTGTAATCTTGTATCAACAATTTATCTGTCATTAAGCATCTCCGTTTTTGAAATTGTTCGTGCATAGAATTAATTTTGCTTTTCAAATCAACTGGATAAAGACACTAAGTAAGGGAAACTGATAAATTTTATAAAGAGGTTTCTAGAAAGAGACTCTACATGATATTCACAAAGGAAAGAGGAAATATCATTTGGATAAGTGCAGATACGTGCAGTGCGAGATTTTTATTTAGAATACATAGTTCAATTGAATCAATTCCTCATCTGTTTTATGACCCATGATCTTAATGCGGAGTCATATAATTGTTAAGAAAATACGTTCAAACAACAGTAAAACGTGGCTATAGGTGAGTACTATTATTTCTCTTTTTTCCGCCAAAACTGAGAATTTTAGTTCATAATATCACTTCTATGAAAAATTTTTGCAGGACAAACTATGACAATTAATAATAATTATTATTTTATTAAAAATATTATTGGTGAGTTTATTATTAGCATAAAACAATTGTAGGCATAATCGACTGATTCAACATTATCTGATGATGTAAAAAAAAAATGAGTTTAATTTAGATATGGCAGAAAAACCATTATGATAAACTTGATGGTTTTAAAATTTTTATCGTCATATTTTCTTATTTATATAGCAACATACCATAATCACCTCCAAAAAAGAGGTTTTATCTCCCAATTTATTCAATACATAGGAGCATGCCCAAATGAATCATGTTATTTTATTTTAGAAGTTGATTAAACAAGGATAACAAAAGTCTCTTTTAAAATCAATATATGACAAGTTCTATGGTCGATACAATGATTTTGTCATGCAAGAAATACACAACGATCGAATGTAATCAATCGGCAGGGGATGCTTGCTCGCCCATGCCACCTGCTCCAACCTCTGATGTTCTAGAGGTCCGTGTTTGCTCTGTTTACGGTTTGTATTGTTTTACTCTACTTTTGAGCTTTGCTGCTTATCCTCATATCTAATTCATTATGAAGTACAATCATTAAATTAAAAATAGTTCTCGGGCATTTACATATTATAATTGCAAATGTGGTTCTGTTTAAGGCTGAAAACTTTTTTATCTGCTGAGAAATCTGTTTAGATATATAATATGGTCTGCCTCACCTCACGTTTAGAATTTCCTTCTAAGGTATTCAGTACAATAAAGATTGTCGTTCTGTATTGTACTCCCCTGTCTTACCTGAACATGTGTGTACTAACTATCTTTAAAATAGTATTTTTTCTGTTTTTTTAATGTTGCCCTAGTAATGATTGAGTACAGCTTGGTGTTAAGGAGAATACGGTATAAAAGTTCAATATCTAAAATCTATATCATATTACAATTCATTTTCTTTAACATTTTATCCTTTTTTCCAAATCAAAATGCAAATTTTCATAAATTTACCTAACATTAAATAACTCAATTATGAAAAGATACATTTTCTGGGAAGTATTTTATGAAATCGTATAAATAAAAAAACTCGAATAGATCCAGCATATTTTGACATAGACTTCCTTTTTATACATATTGTCACCCCTTCCCATGGATTACGCTAGAAGGTGAGGTGACAAAACGCTCGTTACCAATTTAGGTGTGTGGCACCCATTGATTCTTAAATGCTTCTTTGGCATTTAATTGTTATGGAAGCAATTAATAAAGCAATTAATTATCAATTAATAAAGCTGTGGCCTTTATTATCCAAAAATATTTTTTGATATTATATTAATAAGGGAAAATATTTGTATTTATTAAAATGATTAATTTGTTTAAATAGACCCTATACAATATACAATATATAGTGGAAGCAAACATAAAAATTATTAGTTTTTATCTTATGATATGAATCTCGAATCTTGCTGGGTCTTTTGATGCAGTTATGTCAAAATGGTTGTAGATTTTTCAATTATTTTGTACCACTTATTTAGATATTTAATAAAAATATTGTGATATGTTTTCGTCATAATAATTATGTCGCCCCGAACGAAGTCGGGACGACATATTGCGATTGTACGCATGTTTTTGTTATACAAGCTGTTTCTCGGAGATGGCTGGGACAATATTCCTGAAACTTTCCTCAAAGGAGAATCACTGGTTGTAGTTGTGTTGTGTGGTCACTCAATTTCAAAATGGCTACTGTTGCCATGGAAACCTGCAAAAAGCGACAAATTTTGTCCGCGAGTTTTCTCTCTGGTCCCTTAAACATTCCTCATGAAATTTTATTGATGTAATGATTAGTATCTGTTATTGTGCTCATTGGTTTTAAAAATTGGAAATTATCAAAAGTTTCCATGGAAACAGAGGAAAAGTGAAAATTATTTTTAACTTTGATTTTTAAATCAAAGTACTGAAAGTACTGATACGCGTCGATTGTTGTCCAAGCTTAGCTAATGGGTATTGTTTTAGTGATGAAAAAATGAAAGTCTTGTCCAGTTCGGGGCGACATACGCTATTGCTTGCAATAGCAAACTTTCTAGTTATTATTGATATAGTTGTTTGCTGAGTTCGGATTTTGCTTTGAATCGGAATATCATATCTACATTATGGTCTAAAAGCAGAAACAGCTATGAATAGTACAGAGATTGTCATCTTCCTTCTATGTGTTAAAGGCATCGCAATCTTCTGTAAAGGTAATGCATGCACTTTTTTCCGTGATTTCATCTTAAATATTGATAATGCAGAAACAGCTCTGAATTTATTCAACACTTATTTGTGTATCCATGTTTTCTTAAGAAACTGGACATGTTGGTCTTCCTCCTGTGATAACGTCAGAGTTTGAACCGGAATATTTCTTTCCTCCAGTCCAATCTACCTCATTGAGTCTCCACTGCCAGGCGGAAAACGGAAATATCACGTTAAGACTCCACTTGGATTATTCCTTTGATAATATGAGCTTGCGATTATTATAAACACTTCTAATTTTTTTAATCTCTACATTGCATTCTACTCGTATCATACAACATTTGATGTATTTTTAAGGTATGAATGGTATAAAAGTTTTATGAAACTTGAAGATAATCAAAGGGTTACCTCTTACTGGAATACTGGTAAAATTTTCTTCTCAAATCTCACAACTGAGGATTTTGGAATGTATTTTTGTCAAGCAAAAAATGAGTTTGGGGCTTCAATTTCTGCTTTTGTCAAGATATCAGAAACAAGTGAGTGTATCAATTTTCAGTTATTTATATTTTTAAAAAAGGTAATATATTATGAAATATTATAAATAGGAAAGAAATTATAATTAAAAAATTTACTTTTTAAATGAAGAAATATAGTTTATTTTCATGGTCTAATAGCTTTGTTGTATGATGTAGGAATGGATATAACTCAGAAATTGAGAGAAAAGAAGTACACTTTTTTAAACTTCTTAAGAATACACATTTACATTTATAGAGTTAAGAAATAGAAACCATTATGTAAAATTAAGCTAATTTTATAATAATTGCGTTTGTAATGCTTTATCTTTTTTGAAGGAATTGATCCATTTCCAATTAAGAAAGAAAGAAACAAAACATGTCAAGAATTTCATCACTGCAAACTTTCATGTTCTAACAAACCCATCTGTGTACCCACAAACAACTGTCGAATAGAATGGAAAAATGGGCCTGGAACGTTAAATAGTGTGGATATAATTGAAAACATGGCGCTAGATCGAGAGGGTAATAAATACTTTGCACTATTGTCTGACTTTCAATTATAAACAAATACTGAACAATTAAAAATAATAAGAAAGTCTGATCCTACAATCAAAAATCTTTGAAAAGATTTCGTTTAAAACTTACACTACTTAAGAATTAAAGGATTACAAAACAAAGGACACATAGTCCACTTCTCTTACTCGACTCGGAAAAAGCATAAATCTGTTAATAAATGTAAAGTTTAAATAAACAAATGGTCTAATTCTATCCCAAGGGAGTTAATGTTTAATTTCACAAATTTGAAACTTACTAAGTGAGGATGCCTCTACGCTTCTTATACCTTACATTGCTTTGAAGATTTCACAGTATAAAAAATTACAGTACATATTTTTAACGTCTATTGTCGCCCCGTCCTGCCAATGGTCTGGGATACCATTCATCAACTGAATCAATACTACTCAAGGATGTATCGATAGTTACGACTTTACCATTCTTGATAAGATTTTTGAAAGAAGATATTTCTTCTTCTTTTATATGTATAAGTATGGTCAGATTTTGTGGCCCAACCCTAAACCATTGGGTACAAGCAAGCTGAAGAAATAAGGATACCAACAGTCTTGTTTGAAGTCATCATTTCACAAGTTGAATGGTCGATATAATGACTTCATCAGCAAATGCAACCTATCATAATGTTAATTGAATCCTGACTGACATTTTGTACAAATTGTTAGACTATTGTTTACACACTTAATTGTTTAAAGGTTTTTTTTTTCCCTTTTTCTTAATAAGGAGCTCCAGCACGACGCGTGTGAAAAATTACTGGAAAAGTTTCCTCATTAATTCTTTTGATTTGAAAGGTTTTAACTGAACACTTTTAATATTCACTGTAGAATCCAAATTTATTGTTAAATTTAATACTAGTATAGGCCGCTGAGGTAAAGAAACTGAGGTTCACACAAAGATTTACTCAAAAGTTCTCGATCAAATCTCCTTAGTGAAAATCAATTGGAAAAATGTTTAAAACTGTTTTATTGTTAGTTCTCTTTGATTTTCCTTTCTTTCTTGTTTCCTTCCTAATTTTCTTTTTATTTTATATTAAATAATAACCGCCAGGAAACCTTCATTTTCTAAACATCAACCGATCTTACGGAGCACAGGATTATTACTGTGGTGTTTGGAATGACAACGAACAAATATTTCGAAAGGGAAATTTATTGAACCTCAATGTAGAGGGTGAGTTATTAATGATTTGTATCAGTTATGTTAATAAATTCAAAACAACAATAGAAATCTTCAATTTATTTTTAAATGTACGATTTATTTAATGAGTAAATAAATGTTACCGGATATAACCATGATCATCTTGTAGATTCTGCTGACATTTTTGTTCCTACCCGAGCTGTTTATCACAGTGGGTATAAAGCTTATCCTGGAGAGAATGCCATCCTGCAATGTATTTTTTCTGGAAAGTAATGCCCTATTCACACGGAAAATTTAATTTGTAGTAAATTAATGCGATGTAAACTAATGCGAATCAAATTGCGTTCACACAACAGCTAATGCGAAGTAAACTAATGCGAATTAAAATTTTACTTCTGCAGCCCGGCTTTTATGACGTCATTTGCAAATCACGTCACCTTCTGCAGAAGCAGATCCATTTGACATGATGGTAAAGTGTCTGTATACACATTTTAATGATTAACAAAATTTCTCTTCGTTTTTCACTCAAAAATAGCACAAGTACTTATAGCTGACTACCGACAAGTAGCATTTGACTAAATGTTGCCATTACGCATGCGTCAGAATTTAATTCGAATTAGCTTCGCTTAGCGTTCACACGGAGCAAATGCACTGTTCATACGGAGAGTTTAATTCGCAGTAAATCGATGCGAAGTAAACTAATGCGAATCAAATTGCGTTCACACGACAGCTAATGCGAAGTAAACAAATGCGAATTAATTAAAATTTTCCTTCTGCAAGCCGGCGTCAGCACGGCTATTATGACGTCATTTGCAGAACACGTCACCTTCTGCAGAAGCAGATCCATAACAAAATTGATTAAATTTTGCCATTATGCATGCGTCAGAATTTAAGAGAGAATGTCACGAATCATCAAGCTTCAGATGGAAACTTAAAATTTTAACCTCCTGTTTTCTTATATTGGTTGTAAAAAGTGTTCATTGTACACAACTTTCACATATATGAAAATGATGTTTGACCAACAAAACTATTATTTATCTACCTTCTTTTGTGTTGCCATGGAAACCACCGTAAGTGAAGGAAAAAAAGCTTAAATTTTAACTTTTTTGGAAGAATATTTTTACAGAAAGAATACTGATATCACCCACAACAAACTTTTTGCAAACTATTAAAGATATGTAGTGTACAAAAAAGTTTCAAAGCAAATCTAAATACCCATGCATCTGTTGCCATGGCAACACAAATACTACATAGTTGAACAATGTGAAAATTTAAATATTTACCTGTCAAGTTAAAACTAATGTATATAAAATCTACAACAGGTTCAGCATTTAAATGAATTTTATTCTTGCACAATACATGTTGATCTTCAAGACTGACATAAAAAACTGAGAAGCATATTTACTACTTTTGTGGGAAAACTGTTCAATTTCATGTTTGAATTCTTTAAAGAATGCTTAAAATTCACTTCCAATATTTTAGGAAAATTTTAAATTTCTTCCAAATTGATACAATTGTATGTATAAAAGCTATCATACTCTTGCATCATTAATAAATATAGTGAAATTTTGGGATAAAAATCCTGTAATGTGCCCATAGCAACCAAATTTACTGCATAGCAACCAAGACATTTTCGAAACATCATGTCAAAAAAATAGAGGAGAACATGTATTTTAAGTATAAATTAATTGAAAAACCTTTTTTTCTTTAAAAAAAAATATCTATATACTGAAATTTATACATTGATTATATTCTGTGCATAGCAACCAAATGAGGTCCATAGCAACAGAGCTGAATAGACATTTTGTTATTCATGAATTATCAATAAAAACTATTGATGATACTCAAAAAGAATAGTTATGGGAATTCAAACGGATAATCTAATAGTCTGCATCCTTAGATGCAATCTTTATGTAATTTTGGTCTGAGATTTTGATCTACCATAGTTATAAATAAAACTAAGAAGCAAATTCAAGGACACTGTTCCACTAACTTTATGGAAAGGAGTATGGATGGTGAAAGGTGTCGTAACAAATTAGTGAAACCTCTCTCTCTAATATTTTACTAAAATTTAATTATTAAGATAGTGGTTATCTTTAAAATTGATAGGTATCCAAAAAAAAGAATTTGATAACAAAAACAATACAGCATATACAAATTGAAAATGGTCTAGCAACCATAATCAGATCATAGCAACAGTATAGTGTTAAGACAGAAATTGATCTATTTTTTCATTTGATAAACTTCATACTCATTTAAAAATTGTTTATACAAATTTTTAATAGATAAGTTGATAACATTTTACACCAATTTAATATTTTTTAAAAAATTCATATTTTTCCTTAAGGCCCTTTCACAATTGGCGCACGAGCATTTTAAAACACTTTGCGATCGGAAAATTTTAGCTTCGCACGAGCTATCGCATACTTTGCACGATGTCTCGCATTCATTGCATGTGTTTTAGTGGTCGCATCAAGTCTCATCAAAATAGTCAACATTCACACTATTCAGACGCGACTAAATGCGATCAAAATTATTGCAATTCAACGCACGAAAATTAGTACGAACGTTTTACAACGTTTTATGTACTCGTAAGAGTGATGCACGATTTTTTAAGATCGTAAGATGAATCGCAGCTGTCTTTGCGTGTGTTTTGCGACCATGAGACTGTTGCTCAACATGTCTCATGTAATCTTGCAAGGTTTTACTATCATTGCTTGATTTATCACCTTCAACTGCCATGCTTTGCAACAGGTGTATATATAACGTTTATAATTATAAGCATCTTAACTATGTCAACTGAAGAGCGTCGGAAACGGGTGGTATATATACCCGGCCCTCTAACTCGCACGAACATTCATACTATGGAATGCATGAGCACACGAGCACCGCACGTCCAATCGTTTTGTCGCACGTTCAATCGTCCGATTACCTGATCAGTCGTGCAATCCTATCGCATTATCTTACAACATTCGCTTTCATTCTACAACAGTCGCATATAGACGCAAGATATATCGCAAGATTTAATGCACAACAGTCGCTTTAGATCGTGCAAATTTCGTACAAACACTTTTTTCATATGCGATTATTTTGGCAACAGTTTACGATCCTAACCAAAATTATTCGGTCGCACGAATATTTTGTCGCCTCTGTTCGTGCGCCAATTGTGAAAGGGCCTTTAGCAATATATATCTGACCATAGCAACACTGAGTATGAATGAGCAAATAATGACAAAATTTGTCTCTGTGTTCCCCAGTCAGTAGAAAGGTTATAGGCTTTTGAAAGAAATCGCAGTATGTTGGTGTCAGCAATTTCTGAAGCAGTTTTCAATAAAGCATCCAGCAGAAGAGAGCCTTGACCTGGTGCAAGGACATTCACAACCTCTTGAAAAATTGATTTAGCTGATGATATATAATCACTTTTTGTACGGTCAGATGCTTCATTCCAATCTGTTCTGAGTTGCTTCTTTACTGGACTTAGGCCACAACTTTGCAGTAAAGTGTCTAGAGCTTCCCTCTTGTTATTCATGTTTTCTAGGTGATCACCTCCCTCCTCTTCTTCATATGTATCTTGACTGCTTGGTAACCAGAGGCTGCCTTGTGAATTAATGGATGCTTGCGTACTTGTCTACAAAGAAAATTTCATTGTAATACACCAACTTAACCAAAATTGAAAATTTTATACCCTCCTATCAATAGGACATGGTCCTCAAAATGGCACAAAGTTTGCTTGGATTGATACTCTGCTTAAGAAATGACTAATCCTTGGCCAAATTATTCGATATAACCTGGTTTGGGTCAGTTTACGCTTGGGGATTATAAAAAAGTGTAAACTGACCCAAAACAGGTTATACTCAAATAATTTGGCCAAGAATTAGTCATTCCTTGTAATTTAATTTTAGAATAAACAAATGTGGATGTAAAATTGTGCTATTTTTTATGAGTTCAAATAATTTGCCACTCAATAATACAACCATAGTAACGGAAGTGATGGGAAACAAGGGGAGGTAATAACTGATACACAGAACTAGCAGCAATGATGTTTGTTTACATGTGGTAAGATCAAGTTACTTTTTGAAGTCAAAGGTACATTTATTAAATCTGGAATTTTCCATGAAATCCGAGGACTGAAAATGAAGGGATTGCATGGATATGGATGATTCAGCTGGTCGTCAAGGGGGTGAGAGGCGAGAATACAAACAAAATTAAATTATTTATGTATAGTGATAAAATAATGTGGAATAACTTCAGTACTTTTGGTAATAAGCTTGGACAGATATGTTATGCTATCTCCCCTTGAATGATTATAAAATTCATTTTATTGTAAATATTGTGAAAAATTTGAATATACATGTATGTATATATAACATTAAAAAAAAGGATATTTAACCTGATAATTTTATAAGTAAAAATATCCTTTAAGAGACTTGTAACAAAAAACAAGATGTGTTTGTGAAACACTATGCACCTGGCGTCAACAAAGTTCGAAAAAGCTATTTTTAGGTCACAGTCAAGGTCACAAGGTCATTGACCTTGGTGTTGTTTGTAAGAACTTGATTAGTGGGGTATGCATACTAAATATGAAGTCCCTATCTCCTATGGTTCAAAAGTTATGGCAAAAAGTGGAAAAAGCTATTTTTAGCGTATAGGTCACAGTCAAGGTCACATGGTCATTGACCTTGGTGTTGTTTGTAAGAACTGAATTTTTTGGGTATGCATACTAAATATGAAGTCCCTATCTCCTATGGTTCAAAAGTTATGGCAAAAAGTGGAAAAAGCTATTTTTAGCATATAGGTCACAGTCAAGGTCACAAGGTCATTGACCTTGATGTCATTTGAAGGAACTTTATTAGTGGAGTATGCATACTAAATATGAAGTCTCTATCTCTTATGGTTCAAAAGTTATGACAAAAAGTGGAAAAAGCTATTTTTAGCATATAGGTCACAGTCAAGGTCACAAGGTCATTGATCTTGATGTCATTTGAAGGAACTTTATTAGTGGAGTATGCATACCAAATATGAAGTCTCTATCTATCATGGTTCAAAAGTTATGGCGAAGGTTAAAGTTGACAACAGACAGACAAACGGACAAACAGATAAACAGACAGGACAAAACAATATACACCCCAGATCTATCAATCCGAGTGCATAAAAATTCTGCTTATACGGTAATACCTATACGGAATACCCTAGGTACCGTACATTATTTGCGTAGGACTTTAAATTTCTAAACTGAATCAAATAATCCTTTACTAACCTTTTCAATTCC